GGCTAAGTGGCCTGGAGGGGACTTGAACTGACATTGGCCCCTCCCTCCTGTGCATGCCTCCCTCAGATAACAGCCTGCAGAGTCACAAGTAAGTAGTCTTTGTGGTAAACAGTCTCTCCTGGGACTGTGCATCCTTCCCTTATGGGCCCCTTAGATAAGACCCCTGCAAAACTTACCAAAACCTCATTCTTCTTAGTTTGAATTGACCAATCTGGCCTTAGCCCAAGGATCCCAAAGCACTAGACCCTCAAGCCCTAGAAAAGCCCTATGCTCCAACTCTTGCTGCTCACTCTTTGCCTGTCCCCTGCCTTAACCTCCCCATGTGTGTCCTTGAGTGCCATGTACCTCCTCCAGGACCTGTGAGTCAGTGTAAGTATTGTCCTAAGTGTAAGGACAGCATGATATTGACCAAGCATAAAACTAGATCACTTTCCCTTGCAGTCTTTGTTGAACTTTGCCTTGACATCGGACACCCCAGGACCATACTTAACAAATGTTAACAAAAACCACACAACTGACCTTCTTACTCTTTCCTGTTTTTCATGATCTTGTCCTTTTTGAGGAGTACTTTTCAGGTTTTTTTGTAAAATGGCCCTCAGTTTAAAAAAAAAATGTAGCCATTCTCGGAGATGTGTAGTAGTATTACTTTGTGGTTTTAATTTGCATTTCCCTAAAATCTAATGATGCTGAGCATCTTTATGTGTGCTTATTGGCAATTTGTTTATCTACGTTGGTGATTTTCCAAATCTTGTACTCATTTAAAAAAAATCAAATCATTAATCTTTTTATTATGGAGTGATAATTCCTTTTGTGTTCTAGATAGAAGTTTTATCAGATATATTTTGCAAATGTTTTCTCCCTATCTGTGGGTTTCTCTTTTCAATTTCTAAGCAGTCTCTTCAGAGGAGGAAAGCTTTTAATTTTGAGAAGTCCAGTTTATCAACCTTTCCTTTTATGGTTTGTGCTTTTTGTGTTCAAGAAATCTTTGCCTAAATTAAAGTCACAAAGATTTTTTCCCTTTGTTTTCTTCTAGAGATTTTTGTAGTTTTAGCTCCCACATCTATGTTTAAGAGCCCTATTCAGTTAATTTTAATATATTTGTGAATTAAAATTGAGGTACATATTTTTTTGCATAGGGATATGCAATTGATTAGCACCATTTTCCAAAAAAAGATTATCGTTTTCTATTGAATCACCTTAATACCTGTCAGAAATCAAGTATGTATATTTTTTTACTTTCTCTTTTTTTCACTGATATTTACATCTGTTCTTACCACATTGTATTTATTCTTTAGTTTTCTGTTGTGTTGAAATAAACCTTATTCTTCTTTTTTCAGGATTGTTATGCATATTCTAGACCCTTTGCATTTTTACATCATTTTAGAATCAGCTTGTCAATTTCTACAAAGAAACCTGAAGAGATCTGATTTAGATTTAATTGAACCTATAAATCAATTTGGAGATAACCATCTCAGCAATTTGAATCTTCCTTTCCATAAGCATGATATATCCCATTTATTTGGTCTTTAATTTCTCTGTGTAATGTTTTGTAGTATTGAACATGCAAGTCTTACCCATACTGTGTTAAATTTTCTTTAATAATTTCATATGTTTAGGGGCGCCTGGGTGGCTCAGTTGGTTGTGCGACTGACTTCGGCTCGGGTCGTGGTCCTGGAGTTCCAGGATCGAGTCCCGTATGGGGCTCCCTGCTTGGCAGGGAGTCTGCTTCTCCCTCTGACCCTCTTCCCTCTGGTGCTCTCTATCTCTCATTCTCTCTCTCTCAAATAAATAAATAAAATCTTTAAAAAAATAATTTCATATGTGTAGGATATATTGTAAAAAAAATAAAAATAGGGCACCTGGGTGGCTCAGGTCATGATCCCGGGGTCCTGGGATCGAGTCCCGCGTTGGGCTCCCTGCTCCTTGGGAGCCTGCTTCTCCCTCTGCACCCCCCATCTCTCATGAATAAATAAATAAAATCTTAAAAAAATAAAAAATAAATAAATCCAGTAAGTGAATTTAGCAAGGTTACAGAATAAAAGTAATACAGTAATTATATTTTATATACTAACAGTGAGAATTCTGGGGAGCCTGGGTGGCTCAGTTGGTTAAACGGCTGCCTTCAGCTTAGGTAAGGATCCTGGGGTCCTCTGTGGAGCCCCACCTCTGGTTCCCTGTACAGCGGGGAGTCTGCTTCTCCCGCTGCCCCTCCCCCTGCTCATGCCCTCTCTCTCTCTCTCTCTCTCTCTCTCGAATAAATAATCTTGAAAAGAAAAAAAAATGAGAATTTTGAGTTGAAATGGAAATAAAAAACCATCACAAAGGGTCTAGAATATGCTAACAATCCTGAAAAAAGAAGCCCCAAGCCCCAACGAAGAATGGGGCTGATTGTGAGACTTATTTTTAGAATACTGTGTGTATACCACAGTATTAACGGTGATTATCACTTTGTTAAGGAATTCCATCTAGTTTGGGGTGTTTTTTTTCCCCCCGCCCTTTTTAGCTTGTTGAATAAAAGGTTATATTCCAGCTGAATCATCTATTAATATAATGAATAGGCATTCCTTTTATGTAAAGGTTAACGGAAAAATCTGCATCCCTTTGGATTCATATTTACCTATTGCGAAAGAAAAAGCTTTTCTTCGTCTCTTTTTTCTTTTTATTTGAATAAGAAAAGAAAGAAAAAAAAAAGCTACCCCGCTCGCAAGCAGCGGTGAGAAGGCAAGGCAACTCCGGAGCAGGTAGGAGACACTGCACCCGGGCGCCCATCCTTTGCAGAGCATGTTGGGAAATGTAGTTCTAGGCGGCCGCGTGCGCAGGCGCACTTCCTGGCTTGCGGGGTAAGGGGGGCGCTGGATAGCCGGAGGGTGTTCATTTCCCCTTGGAGCTGGTGAGATTGTTCTTTCCCTGACGCCTGCATCCGAGTGGTAGCTGGGGAGGGACCTCCGCTCAGGACTCCTCACGACCCCAGGGGGTGGGGCGGGGGCGCGAGGGGCTTGGATAGCGCGTCCCGGCTCCGGGGCGGGGGCGGAAGAAAGGCGGAGAATTGGAGGTCCGGGTTCGGGTCCAAGTTCAGCGCGAAGCGGTCACCTGGACTCCGCATCTTCACTTGACTCATAAGGGGCTGACCCTACTCTAGTATGATCTCATCTATGTATATCCGCACTGACTCTTTCCAAGTAAGATCACATTCTGAGGTACTGGGGGTTAGGACTTCAGCATATTTGCGGGGGAAGAGGGGTACCTTCAACTCATAAGAGCTGGCATCTTTAAGGTATTGAGTCTCTTCAAGAAGAGACTCCAGAAACATGCGTTTTCAGTTGATTCTCTTTAACTGCTGAGAAGTGAGTGAACAGAGTGTTGCTATTTTGAAGTTACCATGCCTGTTTCTTACACTGCTTTTAAGATTTTTTTTTCTTTTTTGTCCCTGAGTTTCAGAAGTTTGACTATGATATCCTTGGATGTGCTTTTCTTTGTATTTAGTGTGCTTATGGCTTGGGACTTCTTGAATCTATGAGTCCTCAATTGGGAAAATCTTCCACCCTTATTCCTTCACATATTGCAATGTTCTCATTTTCTCCTCTTGTTTTGCTTCTTTGTACTCTCAACAGATATATAGTGGTGCCAAATAATGTACTTTTAGCCACTTTTTTAATGTAGAACCATGAACCATCTTTGAACAACTTGCTAGCCCTCCATTTTGTTATTTTCAGTTCTTAGCTTTACAGTTTCTGTCATAAATAGTTGCATAAGTGATCCTTTAGTGAGTAGGTATTTGATGTGTTAGGAACCAGTGGCATAGGAGGATGTGCCAGTGAACTTTACCTTGTAGTAATGAAAAGAACCAGATCATTATCAGACACTGTAAGGGATGTGATGACAATTGTAGGAACCTTGTTTCTTTACATAACTAAGGTTTTGTAATTACTACAGATTATAGTGACTTTCCCCACAAATGTCAAAATATGTTTTATAAGTGCTTATCTGAGACTGGACTTTGAGTTTTGGGACCAGAGATTTTTTACTTTATTTGTGCATTGAGTTAAGATATTTCTTTTAGTACTAAACAGGTGATACAACTTTTCTTCAAAACACTGTAAATGGATAGATTTATTTTGCTACCTTAGCATCAACATTCCTAACAGGCATCTTCATCTAAAATGTTTCATATTTATCATGTTACCACTACGACAGAAAACTTTAGTTTTCTTATCTCTTATTATAGCATTGAATTTCTGTGTTTGTCAGAGTTTTTATTAACCAGTCACATTTCACTTTTCCTGTCTTATTTTTTTACCTCTGCTTTCCAAAGACATTCATTTGAATTAGTGTCATTGACTTTTTGTCATGTCATGTACTTTTCTGTATCTTTATTTTTTTATTATGCTATGCATTTTGTCTCAATGCTTCCATTTCTTTTACTCTACCTATCTGTATTAATCCTTCTCTTCTTTAAACTTCCATATTAATCAGGACCTATATGTATAATCATTTGTTTCATCATAGCACTGGTTCATTTTTATTTTTATTATATTTTTTCTGTTATTGATGAGCAAGTTTTATTTTTTCCTTTTATATTCCAGAGGGAAGAGATATTGTCTTCTCCTTAATCCTGGATACTATATCCAAAGTCAGAACATCAACTCCAAAGCAGAAAGCTTCTGAAAAAGAATAGTGTCATGGCATGATGTTAGACAGTTTTCTAAATGATGGTTCCTAAAACTTTGCATCAGAAGAATTGGAATTTGATAACCAACTTGAGAAACACTAGTAAAATTGAATTACAAGGACACTCAATTAAAGAGGAAAATCATTAATATAATAATTTTGAGGAAACATTTAACCTGAGCTCAACTCTTTTTAAACAACAGAGAGTTTCTAAAGACAATTATGACATAAATGATAGAAGCTTAAAGCATAGTTCTGTGTCAGTTGATTTTTTTAAAAGGCAACTCATAAATGGAAAGTAATTTATTAGATATAAGCAAGGATGCATTTTTATCTCAAACTGTACTTATTCTGGAAACAATTTAAATGTAAAGCTATAGTTCAGTACTAATGGAACCTAAGAAAATTTATATGAAAGAGAAGCACGAATGTAAACTATGTGGTAAATCCTTCAGCCGGAATGCTAATCTTATTCAGCATCAAAGAATACACACTGGAGAGAAACCTTATGAATGCAATGAATGTGGAAAAGCTTTTAGTCAGAGCCCTAATCTTATTCAACATCAAAGAGTCCATACTGGGGAGAAACCTTATGAGTATAATGAATGTGAAAAAACCTTTAGTCATAGGTCATCCCTTAGAAATCATGAGAGAATTCATACTGGAGAAAAACCCTATCCTTGTGATGAATGTGAGAAGGCTTTCAGCCATATTTCAGCCCTTACTCAGCATCACAGGATTCATACTGGAAAGAAACCATATGCATGTATTGAATGTGGGAAAACCTTCAGCCGGAGCACACATCTTATTGAACATCAGGGAATTCATTCTGGGGAGAAATCGTACCAGTGTAAGGAATGTCGGAAAGTTTTTTGCCATAGCACATCACTAATCCGACATCAGAGAACTCACACAGGAGAAAAGCCCTATAAATGTAATGAATGTGGAAAAGCCTTCAGTCATACTCCAACCTTCATTCAACATCACAGAATTCATACTGGAGAGAAACCCTATGAATGTAATGAATGTGGAAAGGCCTTCAATCGGAGTGCACATCTTACTGAACACCAGAGAACTCATACTGGAGAGAAACCTTATGTTTGTAAGGAATGTGGAAAAACCTTCAGCCAAAGTACACACCTTACTGAACATCTAAAAATTCATTCTGGTGAGAAACCCTATCGATGTAATCTATGTCAAAAACTATTTTGCTATAGAACATCACTAATTCGACATCAGAGAACTCATACAAGAGAGAAACCCTACCAGTGTGATGAATGTGGGAAATCTTTCAGCTTAAGCCCAGCTCTTACTAAACATAAGCAAACACACACAGGGGAGAAACATCAATGTAATAAATGTAGTGACGTTTTCTGTCATAGTACACCTTTAATTCATCATCAAAGAACTCATTTTAGAAATGTAATCCTATCAGAGTAATGAATGTGGGGAAGCCTGCAGCCATAGGTGATCACTTATACCTCAACACTCAGTGGTAACAAACTCTAGGATTGCTAATGAAAGAAAAACTTTAGGCAAAATGCTCATTTTGTTTGTACTGAGAAAAAGCATTGTTCTTGCAATTAATCCTGAAAATGTAATATCATTTAAATAAAAACTTATAATGGAATTATCCCCAAACTAGTTTGTTTTTAAAAACATATTTAGAAAATTATTTTTAGAAATAATGTATTATAAATGTATATATTTGCTTATAATAAAAGGTTTCTCAGGTACACAAAAGTTTTAGTGGGATGATGAAAATTGTTTATATATCATCTTTTATCCTTTTAGTAATTCTCATGTTATTCTTCACTGTTAAAAAAACACCTTTATAGTGGGTTTGAGTTTTTTAAATTAACAAGTTTGTCTAATAGCCATATAAGAGAATACTTTCCTCCACAGAGAAATATGCATTATTTTCCAGTATTCATGGAATATTTTTTAATGGACTGTATATAGTTTTTTGCCAAAGTACATCATATATATATAGTCCATTTAAAAATATTCTATGAATACTGGAAAAAAATATACATACATATATATAGTCCATTAAAATATATATACATATATATTTCTATATATGTGTGTATATATATGGTCCATTAAAAATATGGCTACAAAGAAAATCTCAAAAAATTCTCCCCAAGGGAAATATTCAAGCCCTTCCCATTTTTTTAAAAACCACAATAGGATAAAAGTAGACATGAAAAGTTAAAACAGCACCACAAAATTATTTAGAAATTACAGAATAATTTTGTGAGTAACTTTTGTGTTAAAGGATAAATCCAAACAGAAAAAAGACAGTTATTAAAAAATAATAAAATTAGGGCATAAATTAAATATTACATTACAAAAAAAGGAAATAGAATAATGATATAAACCAAAGAAAATAAAGGGAATGCATTAATAAATATAAAAGTACACATTAATGAAATAGGTACAAAAAATATGTTTGATAAGCCAATAGACAAACTCTAGCAAGTAGGACAATGGGAAAAACGGAAAAAACAACATCTATACGAAAAGGAATGTAAATATAGATAAAAAGGGAAGTTAAATTTTCTAATTCAATGACTAACAAGTCAAATCTAGCAGTTTTGTAAAATCAATACTGAGATTTATCATAGGACTTCCAAACTAGTTCAAAAGTAGAAATGTACATTAATAAAGAGAATATACTTAACAGATGATATAAAAATATTTGGCAAAGTTCTACAGGCATTGGTGTTTTTTAAATTAGGGATAAAAGGAAACTTACTTAAGTTGATAAAGGATATTTATCAGAAACCTATGTGAACATTATGAATAGCCAGAAGCATTCTTACCTGAGAGAGGAATGAGAAATGATGTTTGATGTCAATACTATTAGCATTGTTCTGAAAGTCCCAGATAATTTAATAAGAGAAAAAAATGAGCTAGTAATATTTGAAAGAACTGGCATCGTTTGAGATGGTATGTTTGGTGACTAGAAAATCTAACTAGTAGAACTAGTAAGGTGGAGATATATAATCTATCAACAATGTGTAAGTAAAAAGCTATCTTAAGTAGAAAAATAGAAAATGTGGTGGAAAAAAGTGACAGTCACAATATTGACAAAAAATCTAAAAATACCAGGAATAAGAAAAAATCCAAGAGATGTTTATAGGATAAATCTTTCCAGAAGAACATAGAATAATGTAATAAATGAATAAACATATTTGGAAAAATAGTATGAAGATGTCGATTTGTTTCAAATTTATCTTTGATTTGTAAACTTAAATCAATAGAATTTTAAAAAAGAACAGTTTTATTGAGGTATGTAATTCTCACACTGAAAATTTCACTCTTTTTAAAGTACAATTCAGTGGTTGTTAGTATATTCAGAGTTGTGGTACCATCACCACTATCTAATTTCAGAATATTTTCATCACCCCAAAAAGAAACCCCGTACCCATTAGCAGTAATTCCCTTCTCCCTCCAGCCTCTGGTCACCACTCATCTACTATCTTTTTGTGAATTTGTCTACTCTAGCCTTTTCATGTCAGTGGAATAACAGAATATGTGGCCTTTTGTGGCTGGCTTCTTTCACTTAGCATTAATATTTTCAAGGTCCATCCATGTTGTAACAAGTATCAGTACTTCATTTCTTGTTATGGTGGAATAAAATTCCATTGTATGGGTCTACCAGATTTTGTTTTCCATTCATCAGTTGATGGACATTTCAGTTGTTTCCACTTTTTGGTTATTGTGAATAATGCTGCCGTGAACACTCATGTATAAATTTTTGTGTGGATGTGTTTTCAGTTCTCTTGGGTATATACCTGGGAGTGATATTGTTGAGTCACAAGTTAACTCTATGTTTACCTTTTTGAGGAGATGTCAAATTTTCTAAAATAACTGCACCATTTTACAAGCCCACCAGCAACATGTGAGGGTTATTTTTCCACATCTTTATCAACACCTGTTTTCTCTGTAAGAGATACATGTATACTGTCATAAATATATCCACAAGTATACAACAGGTATATTTTTCATAAATATTTTTATAAATACACAGGTGTATATTTTCTTTGGAGAAATGTCCGTTGGATCCTTTGTCCATTTTAAATTAGATTATTGTCTCTCTATTGTTGAGTTGTAAGAGTTCTTTATACTGGATACTAAACCCTTATATATATAATTTGCAAATATTTTTTCCCATTCTGTGGGCTTTCTTTGATGCTCTTTGAAGCAGAAAAGGTCTTAATTTTGATGTAGTCCAGCTTACCTATTTTTTTCTTTTATTGTTTGTCCCTTTGGTGTAACCCAAAGTTGAAGAGTTATGTATTCTCTTCCAAGAGTTTAATAGTTTTAGTGCTTACCGTTAGGTCTATGATCCATTTTGAGGTAACTTTTTTGTACCTGGTATGAGGTAGGGGTCCACCATTATTCTTCTGCATGTGGATATTCAGTTATCCCAGCACCTTTGTTGAAAAGACTATTTCCCACATTTAACTGTCTCAGCATCCTTGTCATTCAATGGGATTTTAAAATAAAATTGAGCACACTAAATATAAGTATATTTGAATAACTAAAAGAATGTTAAAAATTAGGAACAACAAATGGGGCTTGCCCTCCAAGCAATTCAAACAATAGTCTGTAGGAAACAAAATAGTTGGTACAGTGCAGATGAGACCATCAGATCTGGAGAATAGAACACAGAAAAATATGAGAATTTAGTTTATGGTAACAGTAGCATCCTAAAATGGTAGGGAAAAAAATGGACTAGTCATTAAATGATATTGAGATGAATGGCTATTTATTTGGGAAAATAATTACCTCATAACATACACAAAATTAAATTCCAGAAGGGACTAAGTGAATGCCATTTTGTGATAGTTTTCCATGAGACAGGAGCTGGGCACACAAGTCTGAAGTTTTCTTCAGATCCTTCCACAATCACAACTGGGTAAACTCAAATTTAAGAAGAGTTTTGAAAAAGTTTTATTACAACCACTGATAGAATTATGGCATGACTCTCTTCAAATCCTTACCAAAAAATAAATAAATAAATAAATAAAAAGGAAAAGGCAAACAACATTGCTTTAGGGGAAAAAAGATTGTAAAAGAATAAACCTAAAACATAGTAACAAGACTAAATGTAACCATTACAGCAGTGAAGGACCCTTTTTAAAGGTTACATCTTTTAGATTAGATTTACAGGAAGGAGAACAAACACTTATTGGTTGCTAAATTAAATAGTATAAGAAATTAAGCTGCTAAAGTTAACTGACTCATCCATGGTCACCCAGCACTTTAATAGATCGTTCAAATTCAGGCTTTCTATTTAATGCTGTGAAAGATTTGCTAAGTTGTATTTTTGGAGGAATTTCCCCATTTCATCAAAGAAGTTGAATTTCCAATTCTGAAATATTATTTCTACTTGCTCTGGTAGGAAGGCACCGGCACCCTTCTTTTCTAGATGACTCAGAAACTATAACCACTGTGTCTTTGTTAGTTTTATCTCTTGGACTGTATTGGAGCAATTTGAGGAGACATGGTCACCAGCAGAAGATAAATCAATACACTGCATTCCTCTTTGATTCTTGAAATATGATATACTTGCTTTTCTTTCATTTCCTAGAGTTTCTGGAACACTATGGTCGTCTGTTTTTGTTTTTGTTTGTTTGTTTCCAGTTATATCTGAATCAGAGGTGTGCCCTGATAACCTTCCCTTCAGCATCCTCTTTTTGAGCACTGTTAAAATAACTTTCTAGACCCAACGTGGAGCCGCTCCTGGGGGCTCTGCAGCAAACCAAAATTTAGATAATGTTAGTGTCCCTGTAAATGCTCCGCTTGACAGAAATGCAATATATTCCATCAGCCAATCCCCCAATGCCAAGCCAACTCTGGGCCTTCTTACCTGAAACAAGGTTGTCTATGTGGCCCCAGCCAATTAAATATTTTTTGTCTCTTCCTTGTTCTTTATTCTATAAAAGCCTTTTGCTTTTTGCCTCATTTTGCAGTCCTCCAAAAGGATACTGGCTACTTGATGAAGTGTTAAAGCTTGTGTGTCTCACCTAAGTGGTCTTTTTAAATCAATTTTTTTTTAAAGATTTTATTTATTTGACAGAGAGAGACACAGCGAGAGAGGGAACACAAGCAGGGGGAGTGGGAGAGGGAGAAGCAGGCTTCCCGCTCAGCGGGGAGCCCGATGCGGGGCTCGATCCCAGGACCCTGGGATCATGAACTGAGCCGAAGGCAGATGCCTAACGACTGAGCCACCCAGGCGCCCCTTTAGATCAATTTTTAACAGCACTAAGAGAAATTGGTGAAGAAGGGCTGGGCCAGGAGGGTTGAGGGTTGCTTTGGGTATTTCTTCCATCTTATTCCTTCTCTCAAAGTGAAAACAGACCGGCTTGAAAAGATCCCTATTGGTAGAAACCACCACCCTGTGGGACTAGGGTTTAATTGAACTG